CCATTTGATTTTGAAAAATTTTCCCCTCATTGGAGGAGATTGCATGATGCTAGCCGGTGTATTGGCTCTTGAGGGGGAGGCAATGATATCTTGTCTGTGATCATATAATGGGAAATAAATTAAAAGGAGAAGGAGGAAGGTCAAATGGAGAACATACTTCACAGCTAAGTGGTTAGGAAATTCTCCTGAGAAGTGATTTTTCACAGAGGAGCCTCTAAGGCAATTAAAGCAACTCTGAAAACATGTCCTTTACTTGTATCTGCATCACCCAGAGAGAATGGTAATGTAATTGTTATACTTAGAGATTTGCTTACCAATGTTCTTGTCTCCTACCTTCATTCTATTTTTTGTAACTTGAGGAAAAGGCTGTAGTCTTCAATAGTAATTGAAAATTGCTGTCAACTACTTGGTTGGATACTAGCTAATAGTTTGCTATTAATTCTTTTTTTCACAGACTTATGTAGCCAACATTCTTATTGCAGTGAATCCATATTTTGATATACCTAAGTTTTATTCCTCAGAAACCATTAAAAAATACCAAGGGAGATCACTTGGAACGTTACCACCACACGTTTTTGCAGTTGGTATGTACTGAATCTGTATTTGTCTTTTATGAAAGAAGTATTAAACGCTTTGCTGTTATGTGTTTATTGCCTTCTGTAACATAACTCATTTGCTTTCAACTATTATAAACTAAAAGCACCAATTAGTAAAATTGCACATCTTCCAATATTTGCTGTGCAATTTGAAGAATCTGGAAATGAGAAATCCTGGCAGCTAAAGGGGATTATTCTGTACCTTCAGTGTTTTATATCTCAGCAGTTTCAATAAATGTAATTTACAATCATAGAAATAACAAATGCAAATTTTAGAAGTGAAGAGTGACATAATTATAACTGGTACTGTCTTTCGTGATTTCCTTTCTCTTTTGGCATATTGCCAGAGCACATGCGCTGTTTCTTTTTATAGGTTTGGTTTAATGGGACAAACTTGATTTTAGTCACTTTACAAGTAATAGCGTTCAAGGAAAAAAAGTGCAAACTACAAATCTACAGTTGATTTGTTGCTACCCTTCTCAGTGTGTTAAAGCTATTTGTGTGAGTTTTGTTTGGTAATCAAATGCCTTTTGAAGTGTAAATAGCTCGTTTTTCCGTACCTGTTGCATAATCAGAAAATTACCAAAGCGTTTCTCGATGTATCCTTGTCTCAAATGTTACTTGTTAGAAAGCGCAGCTGACAGTTTCCTTTAAAAAAATATAATAAATCAAAATCAATCTTAAGCTATTTTGTGAATATATTTCATTCTGGAGATTTAGTGCTAGGTGGTTGTTCATGTTTTGTTACGCTTTGTCCTGGATATAGGTCAGTAAGTATTTAAAGACTTATTGCTCTTATATGTCAGTGTTGAAGGGTGGGCAATTGTAATATAATTTAAAGGGAACCAGACTTTAATTGGTTGTAATGCACTTGATTGAAAAACTTTGCTTTTCATTCTTTAAAATGTTAATTTTTCATTTTTGTATTATAGATTAACTTCTATTTTAATATTCAGGAAGAGTTGCAAACATAATTTTTATCATGTTTAATTTTTTTTTTTTTGTTTAAGCTGATAAAGCATTTCGTGATATGAAAGTACTCAAGATGAGCCAGTCCATCATAGTTTCTGGAGAATCGGGAGCTGGAAAGACAGAAAACACTAAATTTGTTTTGAGGTTTGTGCTTTTAGATCAAAATTATTCAGGAATCTCTTATGTTGATGCATTTGTTTGACATGCAAACAGAGCTAATTGTAAGGTAGTCAATGACAGTAAAGTAGCTTTAGGACACAATTCAGGAAGATAGATATATGCTTCCACATACACAGTAATACAACCAATTCATAGGGTTAAACTTGCAGGCTGACATGATAACATGTGAAGATGACTATATTTTCAAGAAACCTACTCAGTTGTAGAGCCATCGTGTAGTTATTATGGTTTATGATGCCGTCATTTTGATGTGGTGCTCCTAGAACAGATGAAAACAAAACTAGACATTTTAAGCGTCTTGCACGACAGTGTTCGTTTTTGCCATAAATGTGCATTTCTCTGCTTTCCTTTTCTTTGTTTCTTTAACTTGTTTGCCTATCCAAGGTTTTAACTCTGGATTTTGGGATGACTGCAGGGATTCTGAAATGTACTTCTACCTTAACTTCCTGAATAAATATTGAATAAAGGGATTCGTTAATTTAATTGATATTCATGTATGACACATACTAAATGAAGAACCTTAGACTACAGGGAGGTCATGTTGCTGATATGTGCCCTTACTTCACTTTTAGATTATCTTAATATTTTTGACTGTATTTGCATTATACTTTAACTGCTTTAGATCTCTTTGGAACACCATAACTGAAGCACACTGCTCAGTTAAAACTGGCCTTTACAGGTGGCATGATTCTCCAGGGAAGCACAGCGAAGGCAGCACATATACATTCTGTTCCCATTGTCCTTGTTTCCCTGTATAAATCTTTAATTCCCTTTTCTCATGTGTTCGCTAGTATCTGTGTGGGGTAGTGGTCTTATCTACTGAATCCCAGGAAGAATTGTGACAGTTGGTCATTTGTTCTTTATATGGTTCTTCTCTACCTTGTGTAACTTGAATGGATAGCTGTTAAGAGTTACTGCAAGGTGATGGTAATAGTTTTTATAGGAGATATCTTAACTGAACACAACTCCAACAAACTTGATCCTCCTAAGAACAGAAAAAAACAGCAGGCGCTATGAGAACATCCCCTGAGGAATGTTCTCCAAGGAAGTATTCTTCTGCTTCTCAGCCAGGAAGTTCCAATTACAAGGCAGGGAAAGATCACTGTGGCTACTTGGCTCTACCACTCGCCCCAATGTAGTCTGTGAACACAATGTCACCGAGTTTTAAAAGTAGGAAGTTTTTTTTTTCCCTTCATGTAATCAGAAGAGTACTAATATAGATTTCTTAATACTACTAAACTTTTTTGAAAGGCCTCATTTTGAGAACTATTTTTAAAACGACCCAGATTTACTTGTAAATTTTTAGAAAGTATGCCTTTGTACTCAGAAAAAAGCTGTAACTTCGGAGCAAGTATGTTGTGGGTTTATTTTCCTATTTTCGAATTCTTTTTTCAGTTGCTAAATTGGAGCTTAGCTTAATTATGCACCTGCAGTTTCCTGTCTCACAGTGTAAATGTGGGATTTTCATTAGTACCGGTGGCTAGGAACACAGAGGCTGTATGCATGGAAATAATCTTAACTTTAGGAAGTATATGTGAACATTCGTGAGCTTATGGAGATTAATAATAAGTACAGTAGCACAGTCATATATTCAGTATATTTATACAAAAAGTAATTTCCGTATGAATATGTGAAAGTAACTTCTAAATGTGTCTGGAATTAATGTAAAAATTCTGGGGTCTCCAAGAATGTATCTTCTAACAAAAGAACAGTCAACTTGCTTGTGTTTATTTTAAAAGCATTTAGGTACTTGGGACTTGTAATCAATCTGTTCTCCCTTTAGCCAAATGGCTAGCAAGTATGATGCACAAACATAGTAAACCCCATTGAATTTAAGTAACCTGACAAATGGAACGTATCAATCATTTCTATCTTACTCTGCAGGTATTTGACAGAGTCCTATGGTACGGGCCAAGATATTGATGACAGAATTGTAGAAGGTATTGTATTTTATTAAACTAAAAGTTGCAAAATGTTTCAAGTTTTTTTTCAAATTTGAAATGTTAAACAACAATAAATAAAAGCTAGGTTGATAATATTACCAGACTTCCTACAGCATAATTTACTGTTAGGTTACCTTGATACCAATTTCTGGCAAGTTATTTCTCATTTGTGATTTGCTTTGTTTTTACTTAGTATAATGTCATATATTACTTCTGGTCCATCTAGAAGATGTTCAAGTGTGAAAGTTTACACATAGATGTATCCAGGACTGGATTTTACACTGTATGAAATCTCCAAGGACAAGATTATGTTCTCATTAGTACTGTGGGTAGCACAAAGGTGTAATTCCTCCTCCCCACCATGAAGTTCTCGAAGATGGGTAGAGCAATGAAGTTCTTTTAAACTCTGATCTAGTGTTCTGGGTCATTTTTCTGTTGTGTTTATTTGTCATTAAGCAATTCATTTGCATGAACACTTTCATCTCTTCTTTATTGTGTCTGTCTTTATAATAGACTCTTGAAAAACACCAGAAGATGAGATACTGTTTTGAACATCTAGTTTATCTTTTTAAATGTTATAGGCACTTCCTACTTGAACATGAAATAACTTTTTGAGTAAACATAAATATCTCAAAACCAAACAACCAACCACTCCCCGAAATGCTTCATCTCTCAGTGTTAGTCTTCTGTAGCTTATTGTAGTTTTAGTTCATAGTTTAATTGCCCTCACTGTCTTTCTTACATAAAAATTTGCTTTCCTGTACTGTGAATGTTTCTGTTTTCAAATGCGAGCCGCTGGATTATTCAAAAGAAATACTGTGGACTTTAGTCTTTTGTTGCTGTAGGATTGCTTAAACCAGTTCCTTAATGAAATCTCTTGTGTACTGAAGGAACTCAGAAAGTGGCCAAGAGTTGGATAATGCCTGTCACAATATGCCATAAAGTTAATTGGTACTTGTAGGTATTTTTAGAAAAGTATTTTTAGTCTAAAACAGCATCTGATGCATGAGTGTTAAAGTTTTGGGGCACAACCTGAATGAGCATGCTCACAGCATCTGTTTTACTAGAGGAACCTTTAGCCTATCTGAAAGACTTCCTGCCCTCTTTTTATTCCTAATCCATACTTCAAAAATGTTAATATTATGTAAGATACTTGGATGTCTGAATAGTTATCAGATATATCTTAATATGGCAGTTTTGAAAATCAGATTTTCATTTCCATACACTTCTATTTAAAAAAAAAAAAAAACCCCTAGCAAAAAGCAAAAAAAAAAAAAGTTAATGGAGATTTTTTCCTAATAAATGATGCACTATCACCCTTAATTTATCCAACCATTGTAGTTATTTTGTGAGACTTTAATTTTTGTAGGAGCAGATTTGTGTACGTTTATCAATGAAGTTTTAAATCTGAATTTCTGCTCACATAGTTTCTAGAATGTGTTTTTAGCTAAAAACCTTAAAATACCTTGCTGATATTTTCTGTGGCTTATTGTTAGCATGAATCAGAAAAGTAATTTTCTTAGATCTGCAGCTGATTTTCAGAGCTAGTAAAATAGTCTTCCAGAACCCTTGTGTTGCATAACTAATAAGCATTTGCAATCTGCTTAAATTGTGCATGTTTAATATATATGCCTTATTGCTGTCACGCTTTCTGTAAGGGCTCTTCTTTGAGGCACATAAATTCTGCAGCCAGTGAAAAATAAAATCATTCAATCACTTACTTGAGCTAATGTTTGAAAAAGCGTTTTGAAGTTGTTTTTGAAATCAGCACACTCTTCTAATACTTTTTTTTTTTCATTCCTAATTGGTCTAACATGTTGTATGCATGATGTTCAGCTAGTATGTTTGTTTGTGGGATAAGTGGGTAATTTAGATTTATGAATGACAATTCATTGGGAAGTCTCAAATTGACTGTTGTCTCATATAGTTTATATATCAGTTGTATGCCTGCTCCTTGTAGGAGAATATCACTGGATCATTTTCGGTGATAGTCTCTGAATTTCTTATAGTATCGATTCAAAAACCTTGCCGTGTGCGTGATACCTAAGCACTTTATTCACTTGATTGTAAATTCCACCACAGTACATCTAGTACCGTTTGCAAAATTGATTATTCCTAATAGGTAATAGGTTTTGTTTTAATAGTCAAACCTTATTCCCAGTAAATACCCTGAATAATTAGTATGCAATTGTTCTCTTTTCGTTTTGATAGTTTATTGATCAAATTTTAACTTTTTTTAACAGCAAATCCCCTATTAGAAGCATTTGGAAATGCAAAGACTGTTCGCAACAACAATAGTAGTCGTTTTGGGAAATTTGTAGAAATTCACTTCAATGAGAAGGTACTGGGATTTTGATACAGATAGTAATGATTTTGCACTTAAATGGAAATGCACTGGAAGTGAGCTGAATACAGTTGAGTTGATATATGGTGCAAGATAACCAACTATCCTGCTTTCCTGCCTCAGATTGTTTTCTGTCAGACTGAAAACTGAAGCCACACGGTATTTTGTCGTTAGTGGAAAACTGTGGGTCAAGCCAGTGGGAAAATTACTTTCTTCACAAAAGAAGAAAAATAGTTGCCTTAATCGCAAGAAAGCAGGGCAGAGGGGAGGGGCATGCGTAAAAAATAACTTTAGCGCTCTTAAGTATTTATACGTTTCTTTAATGCATAAATAAACATGGATTACTTATTATATACCAACAGATATAAACATGTGTCTTTTTAAGTATTCATATTTTCATGTATTTGTTTGACATTTTGGGACCTTACATCAATATTATGTATCTGACAGAGTCATGGAATTCATTTGTGTCAAAAGTACTATTCACTGTGTAGCCTAGAAAGAATTTTCTTTGTTTGTGCATAGTTTTGTTTGGAGAGTTTATGTGTACACACATTCCACAGTTAAGGGTGACTGTGTCTGTCCAGCACATTCAAGTTGAGGACTTGTTGACGATCCCTGTAGAGATGATGTATGTGCTTCCTCATTGTCATGTTGGCTGAGGATGTAAAGAAGCAAATTGTTTCAGTTCCTTCATGCAGAGTTGGAGCTCACCGTCTGGTCTTGAGCTTGTAGTCCTTTCCCAAGTTTTCATTGCTCAATTCTGTAACTGAACTTTAGATCTTTGCTTAACACTTTGGATAGTAAATAACTAAACTCCTTCAAGGGGAGAGGGACTTTATCTGTTGGTTCAGTCCGTATTAACAAAATTATGGAAAGAACCCCAAAGTTCCACTTGGCATGGTGCATGCCTGTCCTGTCAACTGACCATGGTGTTTTAGCATGAAGCATTAAGTGCTTCAACTGAAGCAAATAGTGCTCAGAACATCTTCAGGAACTACTCAGCTTATTTCAGCTTTCCGCTGTAAGACCAGTCTGTTTATCTGAGCCCCCTTTTTACAAGACTTCCTAGGGCTCTTGGGGACCATATTAGGTCTGTATTCCTAGATGAGTACAACACTGGGTTGTCCTGAATGAATGAATGACTGCCTAGCTGTGGTCAAAATTAACAGTCAGTAAGGTCTTATTGGTTGCTGTAATGGCCATAAGAGTAAGAACTTCCTTACTGTTGAGAAATGTCTAGGCACATACCAAGTTTACATGCAAAAAAACTCTGTTAGACTTCTATCTCAGAAAGTAAGTGCAAGTGTTCGGAATAGAGGTGTTTACTCATAATTATCTTTCTAAGATGTTGTCCAAATGTGTATTCTGTAATTTGCTCCCTGTCTTCGATTTTGCAAAAATCTCAGTGAAATGCAGTGAGTTTTAATAGCACTATAATGTCAGTTACTGATGTCCACTGAAAGTGTAAGGCTCGTTATAACAGAGCTCTTTGCAGGAATTACTGGCAAGAATTTCTCTTTATGGGTATGAGGCAGACCGCTCTTTAATATTAGAGCAATGTATGTAAGTGCAATAAATAAAGGGAGGAAAAAAAGCTATAGTAAAGATAACAGTTTCTTCTTCAAGCTTAATACATGTTAGGTGTAGAGATATTGTGATATTTTCTTGAGCAGTGTCCGTTGAAAGAACCATGATCAGACAAATATAAATTGAAAACTCCTGACTTGGAAATAAACCGAAAAATACTCAAGTAATCAGAAAAATATTTCTTCCTCCTAGAATTCGGTGGTTGGTGGATTTGTATCACATTACCTTCTGGAGAAATCTAGAATCTGTGTGCAAGGCAAAGAAGAGAGGAATTATCATATCTTTTACAGGCTCTGTGCTGGTGCTCCAGAAGACATTAGGCAAAAGCTATATTTAAGCTCTCCTGACAACTTTAGGGTGAGTATTGGAGTCAGTGTTTCTAAAATTGCTCATATTGCCATGCATGGATTTTTCATGTAGATATTAGTTTATCATCTTTGACAGACTCTTTTTCAGTTACAGAATTCTGAAAAGAACCATTCTTTGTTAAAATCTAATTGATCCTGATAAAAGGCTGCCTGTCTGCCCCTTTTTCCATATCGGAAGATTCCCTGCACTTTTTTTCTTCCCTTTCAAATTTGAGGAATCCTTATTTTTTCTGAAAATGTACTGTTGCATACCCGGCTGCTACTACTTTTGTTATGGGCTCTTCCTGAAGTATAAAATGTGAACTTTTTTTTTCCCACTGTGATCTAACTGTTCTGTGGGTAACCCATCTTTAAATTATCCTGGGAAAAAAAAAAGCATTTATTCCTTCCTCCTCTTACTGTGCATTTGGGGAAGACTTAGGAATTGCATCCTCTGTTTCTATCTTTTGAATTATTCTTTTCTCACGCTTCCCACCTAGGATCACCACCATGGTGACAAGGTGTTCATGCGTCTCTGTTACAGTCCTTGTGCTTTCACATCGCTTATTTTTTCTTCCCTACTCTTTGATGTACTTTGTTCTCATCTGCATATCTGTCATTTTCTCCAGTTCAGAACCTCTGCCGTTCCTCTCTTCCAACTTCTCTGTCATTCTTGGTCACTCCTGTTAATATGGTAATACCCTTCAGTCCCTTTAGGCTGAAAGCTTACCCTTTTTTCTCCCTTTGACCTGAAGGCCATGCTCAACCCTTGTTGCCAAGATTGCTTCTCTTCATTAAGCGTGATTCTCCCTCTCATTTTTCTTCTACTTTATTGTTTCCTCAGGATGACTTATTATCTCTGAATTTTTGTCTTTCCGCAACCTGTCACTGTTCCAGTCACTGCAGTCATGGAAAGGCCAGTAAAATGCAAATTAAATCAGTGCTGAATGTAGTACACCTAACTATACCCAAAGGATAATAGACTTAAACATGGAGGAAATAGGACTTGAATTGTTGTGAATACTTTTTAAAAACTGTCAGCTTACAGTGGCAGAGAAAAAGCAGAACAGAACTTTAGGAATGGAACTGAGAATGAAACAGTGTGTTATGCTGCTACATAGATCTGCGTTTGTAATAGTTTGCTCTGTTTTGTCAGCCCAATTTAGGAAGGAGTAGTAGAATTCTTGGATGAAATACCGGTCGTGGTTGAAGATGAGATACTAGATTATATAGATCTTTTAGTCTAGCCCAGTGCCAGCTGTTCTTATGACTTCTGATTTGTTTACTGCCTTCTCTTCCCCCCAGGCTTTCTTTCTGGATGTTTTTGCCCTTTTTTGAGATCATGTGGTCACCCCTGATTAATCCTGATTCTGTGTTAGGTTTCTGGTGGAAATGCCATGAACAAGCTGGCTTTCTGTACGGCCATTTAGTTCTTAGATTCTTTCTCTCGCTGAACTGTTTTACTTCAGTTTAACTTTTTTATTTTTTCTTCCAGCTTTCCTCCTGTCTCTTCCACTTCTCTAGCTGTTCAAATCTCCCTGATTTGTTTTCAGAAAAGACAAGTGATTCTCTCACTTCTGTGCAGCAGACTTTGTTTTGGTTTGGTTTCCTTCTTGTTGGTCAAAAATTTCTCTTCCTCTCTACTTTTTTTTTTTAGCTTTTTTTATTGGCTGAGTGACTCCATCTCCATTTCCTTCATTTTTAAATTCTTGTTTAATTTCTCACTGTTTTACGCCGTGATTATTACAGTCATTTTCTTTTCCTTGAGAAACGACTATTGTTGTACTCATATCCAGTCAGAGTAACTTCACCAATGGGACTGTTTTTCATTGTTTTCCTGACTGTCCCTTCTATTTCACTTCAAAGGAAACTTCCATCTTCGCTTCCGTCTTCACTTTCAGCATCCTAAGCTCATTCTCATCTTATATTTTCATCTCCAATTTACTAATAAGGTAAAGACTCTTGCCTTCAATCACCCTGTACTTCCGTTACCTGATACTTAATTATTCATATATAAGCCTACTGTTTTTTTTTTTTTTCCTTCTGACAATGATATTTGAACTGCAGACATCCACAAATACCAGCTTCATTGGTTTCTATTTAAAAGAAGAAAAAGATTGGCAAACCAATGTGCTGAGGTGACGGTGCATCCTACTGATCAATGCTAGTCAGTTGTTTGTTTTTGTTCTCTCATTTGTCTTTATCTATCCGTTGTCTCTTGTCTTGGGCTGGGCTTGGAGTGTCACTGAAGCAGAAATCTGTGTATTCCTAGAGTACACAGAACAAGGCCCTGCCTAAGACTTGAAAGAGCTTTTCTAACCCAAACTTGGAGAGCATGTGCAATTCTGAGAACATATGTTAATTGACTGTCATCTCTGTAAACTTCCTATGCCTTAAACAGGGTAAGGTGCACTGGGTAACAAAGTATATGCTCATATGCTCATTCGGTTTTCTGTTGGTGTTTTTTCCTGCTTGTTTTTCTAAAGTAATAAAACTTGTCAGACTGTGCTTATCCGTTACTGTCCCCAATGACTTTTGTATTCAGTTGTATCAAAATTCAGCTGAGGGCTAGAAGCCTTAAAGGTAGGAAGTTTCTGCTATAGTTTTGTACCTAAAGTAGTGCACTCATTGTGCGAAAGGCAGCTGTAGACTGGTCACTTAGTAGGTTGCTGGAACCTGGAACGTGGAACTAGTTTTCAAAACTTTCTTCTCTATTATGCAGTTACTGCAAGCAACATTCTTCTGTATATTTTAAAGCTAAATCTTTCAGATCTGTAGTTTTATTGTGCAGTCTCTTTTCCATTAATACTAATTTCTTGTAGTTGATAGATTTTTAATTCTATAACTGAATACACTACCTGCCAACTCTTCGGAATTTTTTAATCAAAAACCCTGCTTATGAGAGCGCACGAAGCTGTAGGTGTCAAGGTCAGAATTATGACCTACTTAAAATCAGGCTGGTGCTGCACAGTGCTGAACAGCATAAGTACCTCTATAGAATACGCTTACTGTGCCTGTTTCATTTATAAAGAGCTTACGGTCACACAGGCCTTCTCACACTGTAATATGATTTTTATGTTTTCTGTTGAATTTACAGCAAGTCCTTTCCTTTCCATTCAGAATGTCTTATTGCTGTACCAGGAGTCCGTATTTAAATCCTAAGTTCTTTGCTGTCTGTGAAAGATTCACCGTAAATGTTAATTTTAAAATAATCTGAATGCTTTTTCTTTTTTTCCCTTCTGAAGCTTAAAAGTAGATGGTCTTTAATTAAAAACAAATTGCTCAGAGAATACGTCATGTCATGATCTCAGAGAATGCATCTTTGCTTATACATAAATTAATATAAATATACTTAAAGATTAGTCATATTACACTGTATTTTCATGAAATATCAATCTATAGGAGATTTAAAAAAAAAATTGTAAAAGGTTAATTTTTTTCCTTAAATTTATGTTACTTTTGTCAGGATTATTTTTTCCATCTTGTTCTTTTTTCTCTGTTCCTGCTTCAGGTCTTGTGATAAAATGGCTTTCATGTTATTGTCACTTTTTATTACCACGTTTCTTTGTTGACTGCATGTCTGTCTTGTTGAAATTATCACAGAAATACTATCTTTCCAGTTTCTAATAAGAGATGGTGATATTAATAGTAACCAGTATTTGATGTTTGATCAATATTTTGATCAGGATTTTGATATTAATGCTAATTTTTTTGAGGAATAACAAGAAAAGCCTATGGCAAAATTCATCTTACATTGATTATTTAGGAAAAATCAGTCTCTAAAGAAGCAATTTTCATGGGCCATTCGTCTTTGCAATTGTGCCACTTGTCTTAGAGTTTTTAGTTTATCAGCTCAAAGTCCAACTTGGAGTCCGCTTAGGTCCTAAAACTCAAATGTGTTTTGCTTACTCTCTGGCTTCTCTTTATTATATTAACTTGAAAACAGGACCATCTCAAATCGAAGGCAGTTCTCATTTTTCACAGAACTGAAAGAGTATTAAAAAAAGGAGGTTTTTTTTTTTTTTTTTTTTAGATACTCATTTAACTTAATGCTCTTTTCTTCCTCCAGTAGCCCTGCCTCTCTTTGTCTCATACAATTCTGCCAAGATCTCTTCAGGCGTTTGGCTGTCTTGGCATAGGATGATAGGTGCCTACTTGCTTTGGGCATGTGAGCCAAGACAACTGCACCAGCCACACCTGCCTAAACTATTTTCTGCATTTTGACAGTGCTCTTAGGGGCTTCCTCTCTGTTAGCCCCTCTTCCCCCAAGGAAGAATGAATATACTAGGCAAAGGACTATGAAGAGCTGCAAGTTTTTCTTCCCGGTTTTTACCAACCCTTCCTGCCAACACACTCATACAGTCCTGATTACTTAGGTTTTGGGTTCCTCTGCATAAGTTTTCAGAGATTCAAAGCCATTAAATAATCCTATCCTGAACCCAGCCACTGAATAGGTCCAGATGGCTTTGAAAGAGGGTGCACAATAAATGTGAACCTGGAGTATAGCTGAGGGATAGGGGAAGCTGAATTCTTTTCCCGATCCTAATTTCTGGAGAAGAAATAAAGTTGCCGTATGTTTGGATCACTTAAAGTTATAATGGGGCAATGAAAAAAAAATCCCCCAAAAAATCCGGAGAACAAAGTGCAATGATACTTAGATGCTATACATGGCTATCTCAGGCTGAGTCTTCTGTGCTTAAAAAAATACAATTTCTCCTAAAGTTAGTATGTATGTTTACTTGATTTTTTAGCTTTCATACGAAAGGCATTGTCTTGTGATCAAATGACTCCTACATAGGTAATTACTGAGTACCGTGCTGGTTCGCCTTCTCAGTCTGCCAGATAAGTTTCCACTCTCCTGTTGATAAGTATGACCTTTTAAACTCTCCACTCCCAGTTCCTGGGATCATGTTACTAAGTACTGTAATACAGGGATATAGTCTTGTATTTAAAATCTACTCTGCTTTGCATTCTTATTTGCTGATACAGAAAATTTTTCAATATTACGTTAAGCACCAAATTTAATTTTAAATAGTGTTTGTGTTTTAATATTAAATTAAATTTGTCACTTAGTTTTCTTCTGCTGTAAGAAATTCTTTGGATAATATTTTACTTTTTAGAACTCTGTATATGGTTTTATTCTAAGTATAGAATTACCTGTTTTCACCTAGCTGAAAACACAGAGTTCTTAGTTTTAGCCAAACAAGTCAGAACGTAAAAGGTGGTGACTCCGTTCTTCTGGAAGTGTCAGTCATTATCTGAATACTTGAAATATTTCTTCCCTTTGCCATACAAGGAGATTGATACTAGAAGCTGGATTCTGAATAGGTTTCTGCTTGCACCACATTAAATAGTCCAACAAAAAGTTTGAAGAGTATTACCACTATGTCTCTTATTACCTGTAGAATTATATCCCTTGTGAGAAAAAATGACATAGAACTGTATAAAATGTGATAACCGTAGTTTTTGGCATTAGTCACCAACTCCCTTGATCTCCTGCCCCCTTCCCCACAGATACGGTATGTACAGCTTATATATGACTGAGAACATAAAGACTATTGTGAATTTTATTTGATGTTCTCTACAGCTTGGTGGAGTTAAAGTTCAGTATTACAAATGGGCCAGAAAATGTACTTTCGTGGTTCCTAATTTTAGTTGCCTTTTACATAATCCTAGTCTCTGTTAGGAGGTTTAGCAGAGTCAAGGAAAGACAAGATAGTGGGACATAACAAAATGAGTATCTTACTGTAGCAAACAGTACTTTAGTTGTCCAAATTGAAAAGTTTTCAATAGAATTTTGTTACTGTTGTACTTCTATAACTCTGTTGATATAAATACATTTTCAAGGAATGAATTCTGAACACCTAGCATATTGTTGCTATCATATAGTGAAATAAAGCTATGTAAAGCAAACCGTAATTAATAGCATATTTTATACTGCTATCTGTAATCGGGTATGCTTTTCCTCTTTTTTTATTGTTACAGTACTTAAATCGGGGCTGTACCAGATACTTTGCTACCAAAGAAACAGACAAGCAGATTTTGCAAAATCGCAAGAGTCCTGAGGTATGGTGTATGTTTCCTATCTTCGGTTACTTCATATTATTAACTAATGCAGATAGAGGTAAAAATTATGATTACAGTTTTACCGAGTGGAAAGAAATGTTCATTTTACACATCTTTACAGGTTTAAAGGCGTGCTGTCAAAGTGGGCATATTTAGAGCTCTGGTTTTGGAGTTGAAGCCTAGAAATTCATTTTAATGTGAATCTTAAAGTCCAAAATGGAACACACTGTAAAATTGTTTCCTTTTCATTTTTATAATAATATGCCATGTCATGATGCACCATGTCTCTGTGGAAAGCAAAAATCAATTCAAGGTTTTTTGTTGTTTTCTTTTTAAATCTTAGTGTTATTAGGAATAGGTGAGAATTAAGTAGGTTTTTTTTTTTTTTTAACCAGAGACGCTTTTCCAGAGTTTTTACTGTCTGGATATTTGGAATGATCTTCCAAACTGTTTTTTAAAACATTTATACAGCCTCATTTCCAGGAGGAGTAAATCCCCAGTATACTGCTTTTTTTGATACCTTCTTTATATGAACTGTTTCTTATGATGGAACATGGCAGTTTTTTTTTTTTTTTAAACAGAGCTGCTTTTCCAGAGTTTTTACTGTCTGGATATTTGGAATGATCTTCCAAACTGTTTTTTAAAACATTTATACAGCCTCATTTCCAGGAGGAGTAAATCCCCAGTATACTGCTTTTTTTGATACCTTCTTTATATGAACTGTTTCTTATGATGGAACATGGCATTTCCTGGAAGAAGGGGTCCTTCACACCGTTCTTTTTTTCCCCCCCGGCTCCATCTCCCAATTAGACTTTTTAGAGCTAGAATTACCAGAATTTAAATCACTAAGCCCTTGAGCTTGTTTACATGAGGACACTTAAGAAGTTAATCTGAATTGGTAGTATATATGAATTAAAAGTTGTTTAAAAGCTTCGTTATACTTCTACGCTGCTGTCTAGTACAATTTACATCTTTTCATATATAAAGTATTCAATTTTCATTTGCAAAGCTAGAAAATTCTCTCTTTGTTTAAACAAATGCTTACTTGCGATTCACAGAATCACAGAATCGTTTAGGTTGGAAGGCACCTCTGGAGATCATCTAGTCCAACCTCCCTGCTCAAGCAGGGACCTCTAGAGCATATTGCCCAGGATCACATCCAGACGGGTTTTGAATATCTCCAGCGAAGGAGACTCCACCACCTCTCTGGGCAACCTGGTCCAATGCTCTGTCACCCTCACAGTGAAGAAGTTTTTTCTCAGGTTCAGATGGAACTTCCTGTGGTTCAGATCTCAAGTTATCTCATGGGACCGGTACATATTTCACACCTGAGGCTGGAGTCCTATGTGAGGTGATCCACAAAAGGTTTGCTGCATGCTGTTCATGAAAACAGAGTTCAGCGTATAAAGACATAATTTGTGATTTTCAAAAAGAATAGTGACAACAGAAAGAGGCTCCACAACTTCAGAAAACCCAAACCTGGGGACATGCTGAAAAGCAGCTCTTAGCTGTCAGTAACTGGACCTATACGGTCACAGCAGATTGCTGCTCCCATTCCTGTGAGGAAGGCCTTTTGGGGGACACCAGGGCAAGAGCCAAGATCAGGGAGCTAAAGCTGTATTTTGCAGTGGGGGGAAAAACCCTAGGCACCAAGCTCAGCCAACTGCTCACCATGCCCTGCAGCAGAATTCAATTCAGTGCCAAATGGGAATTCGAGTGCAATGTTTCCTCCTGTAAAAGTAACATCAGCAGTAGAGACAGCCCAGAGATTGATGTCAAAGACACAGGGGACAGAAGTATGTTGCTTATCAGACAGCGTGGACCATCAAATGCCAACACGAGACATTTTCCCAAGAACTAGATAGTGACTCAATATTGACTGAAAGGCCAGAGAAACAAAACTGTTTCCCATGAAGGGCCCAGAGAAGGAACAGCACAAAGCGCAGAGACAAAGGGCACAGAATGAGAGCCAGCACCCTGTTTGTATCAAAAAAAGTGAAAGACATGGGATCACAGTGCAAATGGATTTTTACCCAGCTGTCAAATAGCTACATAAAATAAGGGCAAAAGGCAGTGTCCAGATTGCATTGGAGTACCTGTTAAATGAAGTAGCTACAGATCCAGGATGGTAAGGCAAGAGGCAACTGCAAAGGAATAGCAGACATCCAGCACAGGAGGGCAAATAAAACTAAGGCTGGGGGACGTGGCACAAGCCTCTGTCTACAGCAGGAGATTCAGAAAAAGGGGTTTTTGACAGCATTACAGGCCAATAAGTTTTGACTCAACAGAATCCAGCTGGCATGAAGAGGGGAGCAGGTCCCCAGCCAGCAGCTCTGATACAAAGTGGCTTCAGAGACCAACAAACTCAACAGCTGCAGTGGTGCATTATGTAGGCTAGGCTTGTCATTCTTTGTCCCAACAGCTAACACATAGGGGGGCAGGGAAAAAAAAGGAAAAAAAAAGAGGAGGGAAGAGGGCTCAAGGAGCTAGAGAGGGTGACCACTGAAGTTCTCTTCCAGGCTCACTTTTTTTGTGCTACTGTGGTTATACGTAGCAATGAGATCATGGCCCTGCGACCGCACACAGATCTCTAACTCTTCCTGCTTATTCCCCATGCTGCGCGCATTGGTATACAGGCATTTCAGAGAGCCAGTCAAGCCTGCAAGCTTCCCAGGGGAGGTGCAAGAGGATTCTCCATAGCCATGTTGCATGCTGTCTCCCCTGGCTGTATGCACCCGCTGGAGGCATCCTGACTTGAGCGGTGTTTTACTGACTCCCCTGCCACTGTACCACTCCCCTTCCCCCATCTTGCCTAGTTTAAAGCCAATTCAATAGTAGGGCAAGCTATATCCATGTGTAGGATAATACAAAAATGAGTTTAGTCAAGAGCTTCTCTCCCCTAGTGACCCTACCATCTTTTTTTTTTTTTTTTTTTTTTTTTTTTTAAACCTTTGGGAACTTGGGCTTGAGCTTGTTCAGAGCTTGTACATGGAAAGAGAATATAGATATTTCCTTTACTCAACTTAGCATCATGAAATATACCCCTGGTTTTCTACCGTTTGTATGTTGTAATACTGAGCACATAATGCCCGTTTCTTTTGTCTGAATGTAGGATGTTGTGTATCACCAGGGATGGTGGAGAGTGAGAGGCAGAAATACTGATTTGATATTACTGTGAGGCAGAAAGTTGGTAAATTATTTAATGCTGTCAAATGTATAGGCTAAAGAGATGATTGGGAGTTTTTGCCTCAATTTACCTAATTTGCCTCAAATACATATTTATTATAGGTGCTCTCTAGGCATTAAGTATCAAAACTCATTTATTCTTGCTAGTGGAAGGTGGAGCTATTATGCAACCTTATGTCACTTATGTGATTTAGTCTGGTGTTCTGTCATAATATGAGTCCTCTAAAGGATTTGATTTGAAATAAGTGTTTATCTAAACTAAAATATACTGAAAGAATGATTCTGAAAATACATATTGGACTTCAAAAAGTGGAACGAATGATGCTGTAATAACTGTATGTTACAGCCATGACAATTTGAAGAAGTAATAAAGTGTCACATTTCAATGCCATTAAAACTTAATCTAGCTACTTAAATATAAAGTGTATTGCATTGTCTAGGTTTTTTAGTCAGAAATTAATATTTGCTCTGTTATTTTTATGAGAAATATTATTATCTTTTAATTCAGAAAATAGCTGGAATAGTCAATTAATACTTAAATTATTTTTGTGTTTTTCTTATCAGGAAGATGAGGTGATCATTTCACATAATTAAGAAATGTAGTTTAATTTTATTGATGTGTCTAAATGCTGTGTGAAGTGAATTTTTCAGATGCATGTGCTGTTTTGTTTTGAAAATATCATGTTAGCTTTTTGACATTAACTAGGCTTCTATTTAAAGTTAATTATGAAGTCTGTTTAGTTGAAAGCATTTTAATGTCCTTGTAAAACTTAAATTAGTCTGTGCATGTTCAGTTAGTCTTTGGATTGCATGCAGATGCTTTACTGTCTACTCTTTAAAACAATGCACAATCAAAATGGCTTTTGATGTATTTAAATTAGGACAATCAGCAATATGTTAAATGAGTGTTTTAAAATCTAGTTGGTATTCTTTTAACCCTTAGAACATTGCAAACGACTTTACTGTTTTTTAATCCCCAACAAAAATTAACAAGTATATTTCTCTAAACAAGTCTGTCTGGATACTCATTCTTTTCCATTTCTGATTTGCCCTGTACTCTTTTCCCATGGCTTGACAAACCCACTCTGTCATCTTCTTACAAGCACTTCAGTCTTTCTTTCAACTGCTAGAGGAAGCGCTCCGTGGTATCAGTGCTTCTGCAGCTCCCTTAGCTCTTCCTTTCCACTGCTGACTGTCCTGTATTCCTCTGTCCTTAGCTGTCGAACTCTTCAACTCTGCTTCCAAGTATCAAGAAATGAAAACAAACTAGAGTACTTGCAAAGCTTGTTTGGTTTGACGAGCTCTATTCTCTTTTTATTTAGTTTGATTTTTGCATGCTTTTGTATGCTTTTTATCAAGCCTTATTTTTGACTGGAAATAATTGTTTACATTTTCTTTAAAAGCACTTACTGAATTGTTGGCTTGTCTTGTTGTTTTACAGTACCTTAAAGCAGGTTCCTTGAAAGATCCTCTCTTAGATGATCATGGAGACTTCAACAGAATGTGCACAGCAATGAGAAAGATTGGACTGGACGATGCAGAAAAACTTGATCTTTTTAGAGTAGTGGCTGGTGTCCTTCACCTTGGAAACATTGATTTTGAGGAAGCTGGGAGCACTTCAGGTTAGATGAAACATAAAATTATTTTCTGCAAAAGTAATGAAAATGTCTATTGATATAGATAATTCCTTTCCATGTGAATTACTGCTTTGGAATACTGCTGTGTGTTCAAGGGTAATTCAACCTTAATTCAACCTTAATTCACCCCATGTTAAGGTCAAATTTGTTTACTTTTTTTTTTTTAATTTGAATTTCTCTGCATGCTTCAGAAGCAAGTAGGCTCTCAGTGAAATTGTTCAAGAAAGCGTTCTGTGCAAAGTTTGTATAAAGAAGAGAGAAATTTTGTTTCTTGAAACTGTACTGGATTTTTTTTATTATTATTACTAAAATTCAATGTCTTGTTAATGTCATAAAAGCATCTTGAAATAAGAAAATCTGTCTGTATGGAAACATTCTGTCCTTTGACTTCCAAAAATATCATTTTTTTAGATTTTGAGAGGTGAGGAAATGTTACAGTAAAAATGCAGGTAAATGTAATCTTCCGAATGTTAAGATGTCACTCGTAAAACAAATTAGCATGGAAGCAGCTGGGGCTGAGTAGTAGAATGCATAGGAAGGCTGAGGAAGGGCAGTGAGCATTCTGGGAATATTTACCTTGCTACTGAAACCAGCCTTTATAAGTTGAAAACTATTACCCATGTGTCCTTGAAGGAACTGAAGAAACTCCCAGTCTGCATACACTATGAATAAGACTAGTAGCAAAATGATTTGTGTAGTTCTTTATCTTGAGTTGCAAGATGCACTGTAGCTAGTTCCTTTTAATCCTGTTTCCTGTATGCACAGATACTGCCAACCTTGCGTAAAGTTGTTAGAAACAACATACAAAAGAACATTTTAAATGATCTTTCGAATGAGGAATTAAATTATTTTTAGCCTTCAGGTTTACTACCTCCCAGCTCCAAGCACAGAATCGTCACAGAGTCATAGAATCCTTCAGGTGGAAGGAGACCTCAGGAGGTCTCTAGTCCAACATCCAGCTCAGAGCAGGGTCAACACTGAATTCAAAACGGATTGTTTAGGGTTTTTTTTTTTTATGGGGTTTTGAAATCCTCCAAGGACAGAAGTTCTACAGCTTCTCTGGGTAACTTGTTTCAATAGTTAATCATCCTCATAGTGATTTTTTTGTCTTATGTCAAATCAGAACCGCTGCAGTTTCAGTTTACGATCTTCCCACGTCAGTGAAGATGATTGAATTTAGCATGATTGACGTGAATGAAAATGGGAACACGTGAGAGTGGGGAAGAAGGGTAGGGGATTCATGGGGCTAGGTAATAAGTTGGCAGAGAGCTTTGGTGTGTGGGCCTTCTGAGGTGTCATTTGGGGGTTGGATAAAGGTATGGTATGATGGAGTGAAAAAGATGGGAGTATGAGTGAAGAGGGTGTTTCAGGAGGCCAACAAACAAGAAGAAGGGGAACCACAGCAGGTGTGGAAGGTCTGAATTTAAGAATGAAAGGAGGACCTAGTGAAGTTTTCTCTGTTGGCTTGAAATGTCAACATTCATATTTCATGGAATACATTCTGAAGCTCTTAAAATGTGTATTGAAAATACAGGCTTTTTTCTACTCCTACCTTGTATGTGCAGATGCAGGTGTTCATATGAATTGCTCTAGGGAGGTAGCCTGTATGTTTTGTGGGAGTATATCTGTACCTGAAGCCCTTAAAAGTTTTACTGCTGCTTCAAAAACCTGGGAAATGCCAAACAAAAGCTGTTTACTGCAGGTCTGATGGTGGTGTTTCAGTGCTGTACAGATTACTTCCTAAAACAATATGTGAGTTTTTCACAAAGACTTTCATCTTGTAAGGACTCCTTCCTCTCTATTTCAATAAATGTCATTGTAGAATTAAGGAATTAAAGTAATGAATGACTTGTTCCTTATCCCTTCCAGTCTCTTTACTTATCTGTAGTGATAATTTTCCTGAGAATAACAAGAAATAAATGTTGTGATCCTGGCATGTGTCATTTGTTTAAGAGTTAGGTTTTGTTGAAATATTCAAGGATTTCATATAAGGATTTGTGAACCTGTAGTAGTGGGATAAGCTCTAGTGGTGAGATTATGGAGCAGAGTAGAATGAAGTCGTGAACCTATTACCTAGTAGGAGAGGGTACATATCGGTATCTGAAAATGGATGTGGAAGGAGTGTGCCATGCCAGGCATTGCTATTGGTCTATGCATAGCAAGGCAGTTTGGAGGATTACAGGAACATCTAAATCCAGACAGGTTAAATCACTATAGTATGTTATTAAGTATTAGCACTGTTCTCTACTTCTATATCTTGTGATAGTTCTTTCTTTTAAAAGCAGAGTTTCTGTTAGCTTTTGAACTAGATATGTTTAGAACAGGGTTCTAGAAATACAGAATTGACGCATAACTTGTTGAGAAATGACTCTTTGTGTCTGTAATCTGATGAATTCATTTCCAGATGCAGACTTGCATTCAGTCAAAGTTCCTATTGTTTGTAGTTCTCCTTGCCAAGATTGCTGCCAATTCAGTATTTCCTAGAATTTGCTATAAAAATGCCAAATTTGCAGCTGTGTCATTAACATGAGAAAGTGTACTCTAAAGAGACTGTTGTTTATTTATATGCTGTTGGACCATTGAAAGGCAAAACCCCATCTGTTAGGCCAAGTTTGAGCATTCTTTGCATAAGTACGGATGGAAACCTTTGAGTGATAGCAAGTTAGGGAACTTCATTCTCTTTTGAGATTTATTTGAAAAATCGAAAAAAGATTTAAAAGTGATAGAAATGTATTGCAGAACGGCAAAACCTTGCCGTGCATTGTATTTTAACGTTCTGTACTCAAAAAGAAACATTAAATAAGATCTTTCAGTAGGTACTGAATTTGTACAGGTATTTGTCCGAGTGGTACATTGAGTTAACCGAATTCTGCTTGCTTACAGCTTTTGCACCGTTTTTAAAAGTATCTGTGTGTGTGTAAAGCATAACGTGCTATTTCACACAGAGGTTTTCTTCATTGTTACCGTTCTTTTTGCTAACGCTGATCACCTCTGGGTGTCAGAAACGTTCCCTGTACTGGCAAGCAGGCTCACGACCGCTGACAGTTAAGTCAAAAAGCTCGGTTAAAATTTGTGTTGTTGATGGCGAGTCTGGATCTGGTCCCTCCGTTGACGTGGTGCGTGAGGTAACGCTTTGCTTTGCGCCCTGCCTCCGCAGGCGGCTGCACGCTGAAGAACCGCAGCGGCCAGGCGCTGGAGTGCTGCGCCGCGCTGCTGGGGCTCGACGCCCCCGCCCCCGGCCTGTGCAGTCAGCCTCAGCCCTGTGTCTCGGGGCGACTTGTTCCCAGCTTTGTTGGGGTTTTCTTTTTTTTCCCTCTGCTTCTGTAGACTTCTGCCGCTCCGCCGCTTTGTTTCTGAGGCTGCCCTGCCCCTTTGGTGCTTGGGACAGTAAATAACAACCCAGCTGTGACACCGGCTTTCACCTTTGACAAAGGGAGAATCAAAGCTGGGGAAGTCGCAGCAGCTTCAAGGGTTAAAAACAAACACACGTGCTAGTGTGTTGTCTTAGCACTACTGAAACAAACTCTTTACCCCAGGACTGCCCTGTGCTTTGAGCTGGGAGCCGCTTGGCCAAAGGCTCCCCCCGCCACATCCGATCCCAGAAGGCAATAGCTCATTCGAGGTAACTGTTAGGGGTTTGGGTGTCCAACCTGGCGCCAAAGGCTTTGGGCTGTGCTTTGGGACCATCTGATAAAATTTGTCCCTTTCCTGATCTACATGAAAAAGGGAAAATGGTCAGAAACTCCTGATTGACCGTTTGCAAGTAGGAGGTGAGTCACAATTAGCGAACGGCATAAGGTGACTATGTAATGGTGTGCAGAGTGCGAAAATATGAGCATATAGCAGATTAGTATTGCCAGACCTTTCAAAATAGAAACAACTAGCTGTGGTTTTCTGCTATGTAAGCAATGGTGATTTTGAACTGACAATTATTAAAAGAAGTTTGAGGTATATAGATCTATTTTTATGTGTATTTTTAACTAGCGGCTGTGATGTTATTTTATGCTGGGCTGGCTTGTTTTGTTGCTTGGTCACTGGGTTTTTTTTACTTCTATTTAGAAGAACGATTGTTGTACAATGTATGACAAAGGCGGTCTTTTTTTCAGGAAAAAGTGCACCCTCACCTTTGAACGTGTCACCCTCACCTTTTATAAAGCCTCTTATATATCACTGAATGCATTTTGATACCAGAGAAAATATAGCAGTAAACCTGTTAAATGCATAAGCTACACAGCAAATTAGATATGTTAACAGATTTAACAAATACTCTGAAGGGATGCTGATGCCATTAACTACAGAGTATCCTCAAGTAATTCTCAGGATACTTGGATGCATCTGTCTTTCTGTGCGAGGCTGCACGGTGTAGCAGTGACTGCTGTCCTACGGCATTAGGGTCTGGGGTGCTCTAATTGGAGGATAATACAGAGATGAGAGTTGCAGCCCCCTTTGTCCACCTTCCCGTATTCACGCTTCTTAGTCTCCTACCGATTTTCAGCTGTTTTCGGTGGTTATCTTCACAACAACAGGTGATAAGTTTCTCTGTGTTGCCGCTTCTAATTCTTCTGCAGTCAAGTTTGCGCTTGTACTGTTTAAGCACCACGAACAGTAAATCAGAAATGTGCTGCTGCTTGCTGTTGTTGGTAAACAAACATTTAATCAAAATTGCAAAGTTAATCACAGAAACATAAGAAGTACTAAAACAACATAAATTTAGGGGAAAGGTATTTTTTCTGTAGATACTAAGACTAACTCACTATTGGAGTAAATAATAATAGTGACCTTAAAAAAGAGTTAATTGTCCTTTTTTACGTTGACTTGCATCTTGACAAGAAGCTCTTGTCGAGGTAACTTTGTAGGCACAGAAATCATGTATTTTTTTTTTTTCCTGTACCCACATGGACAACAAATAATTGCAAAGAACATGTTTAGAAATGATGTGGATTGATCACAACATTTTAATGATAGTCATGATAGTTATGACTTTTCTAAAACTGAATTTTGTTTAAGTGGTTAATTTCATAAACAAAAGGAAATTGTAGTGAAAGAAGTTTAGCTTCCACTGCAAATTTTCTGCTGCTGAGACCGATCCTTCCTGACAGCTAAGTTGTTGGGGATGCTAGATAGCTGCAAGCAACTGGGTTGCATTTTTTTGCAGTTGGTTTTCTAAGCATGTCTTTTCAATATCTGTCTTTTTTTCTGGAGTTTAAAGAAAGCATTGTATCAAAACTTTAGGACAAACAGTTTTTAGTAAACTAATTCTCTTTAGCAGAATGCATTGATCTTGTAATCAGGAAACTAATTAGCACTCGCTTCAGTCACTGGAAGAATGCACCGGAGTTTTGTGCTGACTAGTGAAGCAATCAGGGTGTTTTGGCTTAATTGAATTGGAAATATAATTTCATGCAGATTACACCCAAAATTTAATATAGGAATACCATAATTAGTTACTAGTATTAACACGTGTGAGTTCATTACATATTTTGCATATTTTGACTTTGGTTATTACTGTTATTTGAGGCAGATTATTTATGTTTTGTAGTACTAAGTATTTGTTAACATTTCATAAACCTTTCTTAGTCTTCAAAGGGATGCGATGGATTTGAGTAATGAAGATTTTCAACGGTCAAGAGCTCGTTCTGTGCAAGAAAAGTAACCTTGATCTTTATTGGATTCCGACCGATAGTGCTAAACTTAAAGACAGTAGCTGTAGTGGAAGTACTGCTCAATGCCAGCTTCCTGATCTGGAGGGTGAAACTGGTCTTCCTGGCCAAAATTTGAACCTAGTAAACCATTGGACAGACTTGCCTATGCTCTTTGAACATCATATGGTTTAAGCGAACACAGAGTATTACCAGCTCTTTTGAGTTAACTCAGATTCAGGAGTCTTAAGTTTATTATGAGAATGTGCTGTTGTTCTAGTAGTACATTATTACCGAGTAGGTAATCCCTGTAGCATATTTCTAGTAGGTTCTTAGGTGATCTGCTTATTTCTGTAGTTGGGAAGAAGAGATACTCAAGAGTTAGAACTTCAAATGATTGCTACTGGAAAGGATAGGAGAGGGATTATTCTGCCTTCAATTAAAAGCTCAACATTCAGATCTTTGTAGTGTTTTAAATATTGTTTTTTCTGCAAAAAGATTACAGTTTACTTTATTAAGTTCTTAAAATTTCCATCTTGCCTTGTTATCAGCAGAGATGGAGAATGGTAAATTGTTCTTCTCTTTGTAATGTTTACATGTAGGAAGACTTTGATCTTACAGGAAAAATTAAGTTTCTCTTGTGCGCAACGTTTTCTGAGTTACTCTTACTATTTGCTCTCTTCCATACCGTGTCTAAATTGACAGCAAAATCTTTGATATATTAATCCAGCAGACCCTTTATCAGTAATACAGATACAGTTGTGGCAGATGATTATATCACAGAGTACAGATGGCACTTGCATTAGCACATGGCAGAATGAGATTTGTGAGTTTTGAAAAATCAGAACTGTTTTACTTCAGCTTGTGATCCACCGTAATTGCTGATCTTTCTCTGCTGTTTGACTGTTCATCTAGTTATTCCCCATCTTGCATTTCTACATTTGAGTTCTAAGTATACAACAACGCACTTTTCTTTACCGAATTCCATCTTGTGGATTTTTAGATCATTTCTTTGATTTATCAAGATAAGTTTATGTGCTAATCTTACTTTCCAGATTTCCTGCTTTCTTCCTTAGCTCAGTGCTGTCGAGCTGTTTTATGAAAATGCCTTTACTTTACCATTGCCGTTTAGAAATAGAAGGGTTTTAAAAAAAAATCATATTCGTATTCAGGTGCCGTTCAGATGGTACCTTACTGGAAATGCCCTTGGTGAACTATTAACTTATTCTCTGAGAACAGATTAGTTTTGGCTTTTGTGCACATAACATATAAATGAACCTTTTCCGTATAGTTTCTTTTTGAGAACGTTGGGAGGAAAATAGTGAAAGCCTTACTAAAGAAAGATATATCATGTATACTACTTCCCACTCGGCACGTGTCAAGTGACCCTGTCAGGGAAGATTTCTTAAGAACAAATCATCTCAGACTGATACTTGGCTGTTTTTACTATCTTATTGCATCTGAGGTATTTACATATATCTCTAATATGCTGTGGTGTATGTACGTACATATAACTTTGATTACAGCTTCAAATTTACCTAGAAGTATAAATGTAAAGATTTTCTCTGTTTATCATAATTATGGTAATAAGCCTAGGACATTACACACATTGGCAGTGTACTGTCTCAAAAGTCTGCAAGTACAAGCAGTTATGTTTTTGTGCCAGCAGATCTCCTTTTTTCCCAATGTTTTATTTTGTGGACGGCAAAAAAAGATTTCAGAGTACTCCTTCCATCATCTCAAAAGATTGCTGCAGCTAAAAGCAAACATATGCTAATAAATACATACATAAACAATATCTTCTTCCCATGTGGCTTACTGCATATGCAAGGAAAGCGGATGGGATGACTTTAGATATTTATTATATTACGAGGTTATGCTATTGTAGTCTGGTTTAGAATTTTTTTTTTTAACTACAATTTGTTAAACCTCTATGTAATATTTGATAGTAATCAAGTACGTTTTTTTTGTTTGTTTGTTTTGTTCCAGTGGCCCCAAAAACTATTCTTTTCTTTTCTTTCTGTTTCTTTCTTAGGGACTTTTTGTGTGAAAGTAGATCATGTGATTGCTAATAGGTCACAGTGAATACATAGCTCAGCTGAAATCGTTATGCTCAAGAGTATAACAAAAGCTTTGTACTGCTCTGCACAATAGAGCCAACAAGGAGCCGTAGGGAGGTGGTGCTAAATACTGTCTCTGTGGATTTGTTAAATAGTAATATGCAGTGGACTGCCAAGGAGACTTGACAGCTGCACTAAATTTGTCTATCCTTATTAGTCTTCTAAAAAGAGCATATATAATCACCTTGTTGGCTGATGTATTTGCTGTCCATGTACACTTCACTTACAGAGAGAAATAATGTGTTATTATTCAAAATCCAGTATACCTTTTTAAATGTGCTGTACTACTCTGTTATTCAGCTTCACCCTGTCAATGAAGACTTTCAGGCAGAACTCCATCATCACGAAGTGGATTATTTTACAATGCGAAACGTTTAACTGGCATCATTCCAAGTCCTCCTGCTTCTTTTGGAGTAATACATTTTCTACCAAAATGCAGTTTTGCAGTAGTACTGAGGTCTGTGTTGAAAATATATTGGAAGGCTAGTCACTTTCAAAATTTCTGAATTTTTTTTTTGCAATTTTTAAGACTTTAATTTTTTTCTCAGATGGAAAACACACTACTTGTATTCTTGAATTACATAAGCCTTTCATTAGGTAGGGTTATTTCATCCAGGCTGTTTTATCTGTGAAGTAGGAGTCTGATCGGATGGCAGTGGTTGATGGGCATCCCTTCACCTGCTCTCTCTTCCCTACTTGTTGACAGCCGTGGACAGATTTACTTGGTCTGCGTGAATAACTTGAATGACGTTCAATAATGAAAAATGTTTCGGGACTGGATGGAATTGTCCACAGGAAAAATCCAGCCTATGAGAGAGCTTCCCCTGGGCCTCAGACTCTAAATCACTAGAAACCTTTCTTGAAGAAACTAGTATCAAAATCAGATATGTTTTTGTGTTGCTGCTTTACCCAAATATTTAGCAAATGGTGAAGAATTTGTTCTCTGTTTCTTGCAAGCATATGATGGAGAGATGTGAGAAAGTTGAAAGAGAGGAAGGAAAAGGTATCTCTGTGTTCAGGAAGGAAACAGGAGGAGAAAAGAAGATTTCTTTGTCAGTATGTAGACCAGAGGAAAGGAGGAGTTCAGGGAAGGAAAGATCCTGAGAAGGAAGTTACTCATTGTGAACGTTACTTCTTTAATAATGTTCTTCTATGTTCTGCTAGTTCGGTGCAATTTCAGCATTATTCTGTGGTTATGTACTTTTTCAGCTGTTCAAAACAAACACATTGCAAGGTTAGGCTTTCTTTCTTTCCATGAGTTTCTGTTGAAGACTGGGTAATTTATATTAATAATAGGGTTTTTTGCCTTCTTTGGTACTCTACATAATACTGGTACAATTTATTTTTTGTAGAATAGGGTTATTTTGTAACTACATGCTCTAGAAGTATAACTCTCCCGTGTTGTTTAACTGACTTGAAAGCAATCAAAAGAATAAACGATTTTGTCATACTGTATTATATAATAGGGCTGCAGCCGACATGTGGGAATTAGCATTCTGATCTCTTAAACGTATCAGAACAGAACGTAAAGGTACCTTCCTTCTATTTATAAGATTTCTGTCAGTACTTGTTAGCCTAAGATATATCAGCAGATGCTTAGTGGAAGACGAGATTGTGTTAAGGCTAATTACTATCTCATGTAATGTAGCTGCAGGTGTCCTTAGTGAATGGAGTCTCTGCTTTCGTGACTTACCAGTCACAACAGAAAGTGATCTCTGATAGTCTCAGATTTGTGCTTTAGAAGTGTCATTTTTGAAATTACAGAAATAGCAATTTTGAGTGAGTTTAGCACCTGTGAATCCTGGGAAGTCAAGGAAACGATGCAGTACTGGTAAACAGTCTTGTGTTGGTTTTCCTTCTCTGACTTACCAGTTCTTACCACACCGGTGTAAAGAAAACAACCTGGAGGGGGCGACAGAGCAGTTGCACAAATGTGGCATCTTAAACCTCTGAGGCCCGGGTTGCCAAACAGGTTAGATAAGAGTGACTTTTTAAAGGTAGGTTCTTGCATATTAGAAAGGTACCATGCTTGATTATCCACCACGTTGCCAGAGCAGTCTATCCTTTGATGGAGTACTAGTTCTTTTTTTTTTTTTTAAGCTGTAGTGGTCCAAGGATATGATAGGCAAGTTTTACAAAGGGAGAAGTAATACAGGGTGTTATATGGGGAGAAGTGATTTGTTTTATTAAGCCAACTGGTTGATATATTTAGGAAGAAAACGAGGAGCTTTCAGCATACAGCTGAAGCCATCATCCGGTATTCTTCATGTCATAAGAGGACTGGCGTGATAAAAATCCTGACATTCCCCCTCTCCCTCCCTGCAGATTGTGTTAGTTTGTTTAGTAAAGGCTTTCTCCCTAAATTTTCTTTTTTTTAGTTTACTTTAACTTTGGATATATCAGTATGTCATGATAAGAGTGTTATGCAAAGCCTTTGTGTACGTGTGGTTGTTCTGGTAAGAAACTTAAATTCTAGGCCTTCTTTCTGTGTGTAAAATTTTGATGATGTTTGGCCAAGGAGCTGTTGATTTTCCATTTAATTTTTTCTCTCTTTGTTTTTATGTTTCCATTGACATCTAAAAATCCTTTGGAGAATTTTGATCTTTGATCAGATTCTGTTCTGTGGAGGTTGATAGGAATTTTGCTTTTGAATTCTTTGGCAATGCGATAAAGGTCCAAGTGCAATTTGTGATCATTTATAAAGCTCAGAGGTCATTTTTATTGAGAGTCTCATTTCTCATACTTCTCTCATGCTATTTTTCAACTAGTTTCTTAAAAATGTATCCATGAATGAGTTGTCTTATTCTGCCCACTTTTACAGGTGCTTCCTGAGCTGCGTATAGTATAACTTTTACTTGGTTTTGGTATTCTTTCTGTGAAACTCAAACCTGTTTAAAAAAAAAAAAAAAAAAGGAAATGAGATAGTTAGATGTGCTTTTAAATATATGCATTCTAAACATGTTCCTCCCATCCTGACTTCACGAAATAACAGAATTCGTGTTACAATTTATATAGCTAAAATACACGTTTATATTTGCCTGGTATTCCTACGGTTTTGTCATGCATTTCGTAACCTTTGGTGTTTTGACTCAGTTTTTAAAACAGCTAGCAAAGATAAATGCTAAACTGGGATATAAGCTGATAATAAATAGGCCCAGTGCAGAGTAAAGGCTTATAAGCCAAGAGGGAAAAAAAACAAAGGATAAATTCTCAGCTGCTAAAAGGCCTCTTTTTCTAGTGAATAAAAATAATCCTTATTTTGAGGTTGCGTCTAGCTTCCACCCTCAGAACACATACTTTCACAATACGTTCACTTTCTTATTTCTGTTACCAGTTACCTATAGTTTCAGTTATAGCCCTTATAAACCATAAGGTCAGAGTTGTCCAAGCAAAACTGAATTTTTATTGTATTTATTGAGATTTTATTGTAATGAGGCAGATCATAACTAACTTGTTGAAATATTTTTGTAGATGAGAGTATGCCCCATCTACATGCTACATGTATTTTAGATGTCTTTCTCTGTCTATTATCAACATAATTTCTGATTATCTAATAAACATGAGTGAAATCATCTGCCTCTCACTGCAAGGGGTAATAGTGAAACATTATGCTTTCTTTTTACAGGTAGGGTAATTAATCTCACGTGGCAAGATTCTTTTCTACCTGGGTCCAGAGCTCAGGTTTTTGTGTCCTAATTCGCAAGAATGGGAAAGACTCTTTTTAAGTTTGGGGCCTAATCTCAGGTATGTTAGAGTGAGGAGTTCTGAAACATAACATCTGTATTTTTGTTCTGTAGGGTGCCCTTGAAAGTGGAACAAGCAAACAATGCTCGTGATGCCTTGGCTAAGACGGTGTATAGTCATCTCTTTGACCATGTAGTAAACAGGGTAAACCAGTGTTTTCCATTTGAGACTTCTTCTTTCTTCATTGGAGTTTTAGATATAGCTGGTTTTGGTAAGTATACTTCTAAAAAAAATTTTTTTTTCTACTTGGCTATTGTTGCTATCAAAGATTCAGTGATAAATGTAACACAGAATGTGGCAGGGGTTTTTCTTTTTGGTGGCGGTGTGTGGAATGGGATATATGTACTGAAGGGGATATCCAGAGAGCAGACAGTGCCTCGTTTTCCTGAGAGATGAGAATGCAGAGGAGGTCTGGAGCTTCTGCTGCTGACCTAATGATAACAAGTGTTAGTATGAAACTAGACACCTTTATAAAGGTTTCTGATTCCTGCACTGTCTGCATAGACACTACTTTTTCATCTGTGATCGTTCCTATACGGTTTTGAAGTGCTAGAAACTTGCTGCTCGTTTTAACTGTAGCAGCTGTTACTCCTTACTCTGAGGAATGTGTTTCTCCGTGTTGTGTAGGTATAAAGCAGGGCTAAAGTGCTTATGCCTGCTTTTTTGCATAGAATCTTACTGAGGCCACCTACTACAATTAGGAAAGTTGTTGAATGTGCACAGTTTTTTTTCATTCAGCCCTGAGAAGATCACATACTGATTGGCAAGCAAACGAAGTCTTTGAATTAAGATACAGAAACATCCCCCAGGAAACAGTGAGAGAGCTGGACTGTAGGTTCCTGATTGCTTCCTGAAAGTGGTGGGCATTGATGGTTCTCATAAAGCTTGTGGACTCTTAGGCTCATGAAGAGTAAGAGTAGGGCATGTGTTCTGGTGTGCTGAAACCCTGCTAAGATAGGTAGTCCAAGAGCAGTAAAAAGGGAACCTTTGTTTTTTGGATCCTTAGGGCTATGATGTCAAGTGCCAGCCTATGGTAACATGGATGCGTGACTGTGGGTTGACACAGTATCATTTTTATGGTAGCATCTTGGTTAGGTTTACTGAGAGATTCAGCTGACTGTTACTGTGTTAGAGATATGATCTGCCTCAACGTTTTTACCTCTGTCTCGCATGCAACTCGAAAATTTGTAAAAGCTTTTATTGAATGAAATGCATGGATCGGAACATCTTTAAATATGTACACTCTGAAGCTTTTCTCAGTTACTGTGTAAAATAAACTCTTGGAACACTGGTTTATCACAGAAGTTTTAACTTCTGTTTTTCAGAATATTTTGAACACAACAGTTTCGAACAGTTCTGTATTAACTACTGTAATGAAAAACTGCAGCAGTTTTTTAATGAAAGGATTCTGAAAGAGGTATGTTATATTTTGTTTTTGTTTTTGTTTTTTTTTTTTCAAAGTAAAATAGCATTTTCTGTAAGATTGCTCTTTCTGCTCAGGTTAAATGTTTTACTCAACAAATTTTGTCTCTTTGCTTTGTGAGATCAAGTTATGCTAGAAAAGAGTATGACTTTTTGGCAACCAACCCGCACAAACACACGCTCCCTCTCTTTCTCTCAATGTCTTTCTTTTTTCCTCTCGCCTTTTTTTTTTTTGTTTTGTTTACCGTATTCAAACAAGTCCTACTCCAAATATGGTTCATTAACATCAGGCATCCAAAAACTGATAGGAACATCTACATGTGTGTTTTTATTGAGCGTATAATTAAGAAGGTGAAGCTGGAATATAATAAGCTGTGCCAGAGAATCTTAAACTACCTATTTATTCATACTGTATATAACAGTAATGTCTTCATATTTATTAAAAAAAAAGAAAACCTTTTTGGTGGATGAAGAAATACATGGAGAGTAATGTTTTCCGTTTCACAATTATTATTCTTGTTTCTTCAGGAGCAAGAACTTTACCAAAAAGAAGGCCTGGGGGTTAATGAAGTGCACTATGTAGATAATCAGGACTGTATAGGTATGTACTTCTTGAAATGTCAAACTGCTTATTAGTGTCAGGGAGTGCAAAGCACAAAGCAGAGTAGGGAAAATATAGGTAGCGCTGGCAATTTTATGCTTCTAGTGACTGTTGCAGCCTTGTGAATTCTTCCTTAGGCCTTACTATTGTATGTATGTTTGTTTGAGGTTGTTTTTGCTTGCAGTTGCAAGATTGGGATCTTGTTATATCCCAAAGCAAAGTACTGAGTGTTAACAGCTTTGTGTGCGTGCAAATTCGTAACATTCCAGTTTCAGTTGGTAATGGAGCCATGTTTTCCTACAATGTGTAATAACTGGAGCCTGTGAATTTCTTTTGAATTTTCCAATAAAACTAATCAAAACATGCGAAATAGGATAAATAAAGTAATTTGTGTGCATGTGTGTTGTGAAATGATTAAAAGCAAAGGGTGTGAGGATGTCTCGGGGAAGAAATCTCGTGAATTGTAATCTCCCCCCCCCC